GCCCGTACCGGACCGGGACCAGCAACGGGATCGCAACCCTCGGTGCTGTGCCCGCCCCTCGCTCAGCCAGTGAGCGGGAACCGGTCTGTATGTGGGATCCGAACCCTCGGCGGGAGCGCCACCGTGCTTCCCAAGCGGCGCACTGTAGCAGTGCGCCACCGGGCTGGCCCTAAGATGCAGATTTTGTGTGTGGGGGTTGGGTGTTTGCAACTGTGTAAGTATGAAAAATTCATCTTGAAACATTTTTGGTTACAATGATCACATAGATGTTTCCCCCCCAAAAAATCTGACCAAAACTTTTTAGTCAATATTCCTATTATACAAGTAATAATAAAAATACTACTCTGTGAAATGTGCTTAGAATTAAATAGAATATATTTTTAAATAAATGACAATTTAATTCTTGCTGAACCCCTATATATAAAACATATATACAGATACAGTAAGAGTTATAACTAATTTATTTTTTAAATTTTTATTGAATGATTTTTAACAGATTCACATTATAAAAGAATGTGCACTTGTATTGATTTTCAGCTATTTTGGACACCATTTACAAAATCACTTATCATAATCTAATCAAATATTACTTTGCATAATAATTAAGACTATAACTACCCATTATTGAAAAATGACAATAAGTAAAATAAATTTGAACCCTGGCAGAAATCAGTGACTTGGGTGTGTCATGAGAAAAGAAACTGCCAGGAAGAGCAGACCAGAAATCAGACCTGCAATTCCTGAAGTTTAGGGTGCACTTGATTACAGATCCCTAAAACTCTTTAAACATAATGCCCTGAACTAACCCCCTCTTCCAGACATTCAGCAAATATCTGTTCAAGAAATATATATTGAGTGCCTACTCTGTATTCTGCTCCAGGGCAGCCACTGGATCCTGTCTGCTTAGCCCACATGAGAAAGTGTGTACCCTTGGTCCCCAATGAAAATAACCAGAACCTTCTTTTAAAAATCATATTTGTAAATTATACTCATTGTTAGGAAAGGACACATCAAAATTACTAATCAGAGAATTCACCAAAATAATATGGCTATGGCCCTATTAAAGAAAGCTGAACTTTGTCAAGTGGGAAAAGACTCTCCTCTGAAAAAGATTACAAAATTCTTTGTTCTAAAAATATAGCACCTCATACATAGTAGAACGAATAACATAAAAAGATGTGGCTTTCAATGCATGATCATTCAAAATTTGTGAACTATCTTCCCCATGCATTCATAAAAAGCCTGTATTTTGAGTATTAGTTAAATAAAAACTTGATATCTTAAAATGTGTTGGCTTCCCTATTGCTAAACTAGATTTATTTCACAGAACAAAGTATTTCTCCCATTTTTAAATAATATACACTGCAATTGATATTTGGAAAGTAGTAAAATAGTTAATAGTTTTATTTATAAAAGCTTGCTGTTTCTTCTGATTTGTAATTCTAAAAAACAAAAAACAACCCCGCCCCCCCCAACTAAATTTCTCAGACCCAACAGAAAATACAGTAAAAACACTGAGGAAATGAGCTTAATGGATACATCTCAGAGTAGTACAAACTGGTTCAAATTTTGTCTCTATCCTGACTCTAATTACGTTATTGTCTATCTTTGCATATGCAGTTTCACATTTAATACACAACTGGCATCCTATTAGATTCTTCTTAGAGTAGGATCCTGAGAATAAGTCCATTGAGCAATCATACATATGATTTGTAGTACCAGTTTAAAGTTTTTTTTTTCGTTAAATTTTTATTTTGTCAATATACAATGTATATGATTATTATGGCCCATCAGTTTAAAGTTTTAAAGTATCTAATTTTTAAGAAGGCAGAAGTAAAAGAAACTTTTCCCACAAATGAAACTTATCACCCTGTAAAGAAGAGTATATACTTGGCACTGAAGTGCCCATCTAGTTTCAATATCTGTACCTAAACGTTTTTTAAACGTACAAAAACCTCCTAATTTTGCAAAAGCAAATTGGTAAAAATGTTGAAATTCTCTTGATAAGGTTCAAGTCCAGGCATAACCTATTAAGTGATCTCGCTACAATAATCAGCACTGGTTTTCTCTGCGACTTGGGCGCACACGACCTTGTCCCAGGTTCCTGCTAGCCGTAAGCACAGCTGGCGTCATTTCCGTGAACCCAGAGGCAGATCTGGGCGTACTTGAGCGGAGTGATGCGCACGGCGACGTTGTAGTCTTTCTCAACACCGTGAACATCCACCCACTGGTGGCCTGAGTAGACCGCAATGATTTTGCGCTTCCAGTTCTTTTTGTCTGGCTCTTTCAGACGCAGATAGACTCCGGAACCCGTGGAGCCCGACTCAGCATCGCAGTATTGATACAGGAGATCACTGGATTCATCGGACACGCTGCAAAACCGGTAGACCAGCTGATCGGCCCTGTCGTTATCAAATCCCGAGAAGTGGATCATCCCGCCGGGCATCTTCTTGATGGCTGGACTGATTCCCAGCTCCATGTATCTCTTGTTGTGGGCACGCTTCAGCTCCAGAAGGGCATAGTCATAGTCCAGGACCGCGTCTGCACTCCCTCCCCGTGCCCAGCCTTTCGGAATGTGGGTGCTCTTGACCCGGGTCCACCGGAAGGAGGGCCTCCCGTCAGCGACCCTCCGACCCCGGCCGGACTCTTTTCTTCTC